ACGAATTTTTTTCTATAGGAAAAAAATTGGACCCTGAGGGTCCTGACGAATTTTTTTCTATAGGAAAAAATTGGACCCTGAGGGTCCTGACGTTTTTTTTCTTTAGGAAAAAAAATGGACCCTGAGGGTCCTGACGAATTCTTTTCTATAGGAAAAAAATTGGACCCTAAGGGTCCTGACGAATTTTTTTCTATAGGAAAAAATTGGACCCTGAGGGTCCTGACGAATTTTTTTCTATAAAAAAAATTGGACCCTGAGGGTCCTGACGAATTTTTTTCTATAAAAAAAAATTGGACCCTAAGGGTCCTGACGAATTTTTTTCTATAGGAAAAAAATTGGACCCTAGGGTCCTGACGAATTTTTTTTCTATAGGAAAAAAATTGGACCCTAAGGGTCCTGACGAATTTTTTTCTATAGGAAAAAAATTGGACCAACGGTCCTGACGAATTTTTTTCTATAGGAAAAAAATTGGACCAACGGTCCTGACGAATTTTTTTCTATAGGAAAAAAATTGGACCCTAAGGGTCCTGACGAATTTTTTTCTATAGGAAAAAAATTGGACCCTAAGGGTCCTGACGAATTTTTTTCTATAGGAAAAAAATTGGACCCTAAGGGTCCTGACGAATTTTTTTCTATAGGAAAAAAATTGGACCCTAAGGGTCCTGACGAATTTTTTTCTATAGGAAAAAAATTGGACCCTAAGGGTCCTGACGAATTTTTTTCTATAGGAAAAAAATTGGACCCTAAGGGTCCTGACGAATTTTTTTCTATAGGAAAAAAATTGGACCCTAAGGGTCCTGACGAATTTTTTTCTATAGGAAAAAAATTGGACCCTAAGGGTCCTGACGAATTTTTTTCTATAGGAAAAAAATTGGACCCTAAGGGTCCTGACGAATTTTTTTCTATAGGAAAAAAATTGGACCCTGAGGGTCCTGACAATGTTTTTTTTTATAGAAAAAAATGGTTCCATGGGCTTTTGCAGATTTTTTCCTATAGAAAAAAAGCCGGATTGTTTTCTATAGAAATAAAGGGTCCCACGATTTTGATCGGTAGAAAGAACCCAATATTGTTGTTGTGCTGCCCTGCCCACTGTTAAAATGCCATTTTTAAAATTAGATTTTATCATGAGCGATAAATCGATACGTTTTTAATTCCTTAATTAATTACATTGCGGAACAAATTATCAAAGGTCAGTGTTTGGTCAGTTTTATTCCGAACACCCTAATGAAAGGTCTCACGCGCTGTGTATTAGCCCTGTGTTATTATTTTTCCCTCCTCTTGGGCATTTTGTCTTTCGGTTATGACCCTCACACCCGAAGGGTCTATACCTGCACTCTATTGAATATTTATTGTGGTCTGGCGAATCTGGTCATGTGCGGCATTCTACCACTACTCTTCACCAAACTTCAACTGAGTCCGGAGAATTTTTTAAAATTACATTTCCCCCTCAAGATCCGCATTATTGTTTGTTCGATTAGAATGATGGCGATTTTGATTACCATTCTGCTGAATTGGACGAAGCGTGAGGAATTCATGAGAACCCTAAATCAATTGCAGGATATGCGGAATGACTTTCGGAAAATGTGGCCACTTAGTGAGAGATTGGAGCATCACTTCGACAGGGCAATTGTGGTGAAATTCCTGGTCGGCCTAATAGCGAATTCGTGTATTGCAATGGAAACCTTTGTTGTGGGACATCCCTATTTTCAGTGGTCACAATTCTGGATTTGCCTAATGGACTCCCTGGCGATTATCTTGAATGTGGTGATGACTCATTACTATAACACCATATGTAATGTGTCGTTCATGCAAATGGTAATCAACGAAGAGCTTCGAGAGATTTTATTGAAGACCCAAATGCTGAGCTATTGTCGGCAGCGGAATTTAATAAAACCGCAGATTTTTCAAAGGCAAAGTGAAATTTTATCACGGATATTGGATGAGCTCGCCGTGGCCCAGTATCGTTTGGAAAATCTACTGCGTCGGATAAATGCCATGTACGACATCCAGTGTGTCTGTGTCCTGATCACAATTTATTTGAATAATATTGTTTTTGTTTTTATTGGTTATCTACTGACCCATGCAATGCGCGGCATATGGAATCAATGGTCTACATTTTTTGTACCACTTACATTCCTGATATTTTTTACGGATTTGTTGATATTCCGAATTGGCCTAATTAGGCCAGTTGATTTGGCACGGGAAACAAATCAGCTGTTAAGGTATAATAAATTGATGAATTTGAGATTGGAATCGAAATTGGAGGAAAGTGTAAGTTTTTAAAGGGATTAAAAAAAAATTACGCCTGAAAGTAGGCACCATATTTTCATTAATAAAATCAATGCCTAAAAGTAGACACTAAAATTCTGTATATAGCCATAAAACATTTCGTAAGACCCTTGGGTCGATTCTAAACAAAACAAAAATCATGAGGTCCTCAGGGTCGATTTTTTTTCTATAGAAAAAATTCGTGTGAGACCTTCAGGGTCGATTTTTTTTCTATAGAAAAAAATTCGTGTGAGACCCTCAGGGTCGATTTTTTTCTATAGAAAAAAATTCGTGGCGAGACCCTCAGGGTCGATTTTTTTCTATAGAAAAAAATTCGTGGCGAGACCCTCAGGGTCGATTTTTTTCTATAGAAAAAATTCGTGGCGAGACCCTCAGGGTCGATTTTTTTTCTATAGAAAAAAATTCGAGTGAGACCCTCAGGGTCAATTTTTCTATAAAAAAAATCGACTGAGACCCTCAGGGACGATTTTTTTCTATAGAAAAAAATTCGTGTGAGACGCTCAGGGTCGATATTTTTCTATTTTTCTATAGAAAAAATTTTGTGAGGGTCGATTTTTGGTGCATGTTTTAACATCGATAAATTTCTCTCTTTTCCTTTTTCTCTTTGCAGTTCAAAAACTTCTCCCTGCAGCTGGCCAAATTCCCCATTGAAATGAAACTGGTTGGCCTCTTTAAATTTAATCGGGCCATGGTCTTTTCCATATTCGGCTCAACGATATCGAATGCCATAGTGTTAATACAATATGACTATAAGAATAATTATAATGAATAACATGTTCGAATTTTGCTAATAAAGAAATTTTGAAAACGAAAAATCACTTTCCGAACGCTCCTTTAATTTTTGCCTGGCGGAAGTTCCACTCCTTTGATTTGCTTAAAAGCTTAGCCAAGGAGATTACAATGGAAAAAAAAAATGGTTCAATGGAAGTTAGCAGAAAAATTGCTATCATTAGCTGGTGATGGAAAAACTAAAATTGCAAAAGGGATGGGTCCTAATTGGCCCCAAATGGTTGGCATGCATTTCATAAATATTTGCATTTAAAATTTTCTTTAAAACTCTTGCATGTCATCACACGTCCGAACGAACGGCCAACCATCCATCCTAATAATATGAAATTATTTTCAATTTATTTTTCCATTGCACCTTAAAAAGGCGATCAAAGAAGAAGAAGGTGTGCGGCCACACACACCTAAAAAAGAGATTGAAAGTAAATGGCAAGGAAATAAAACCGAAAGCAGATCAAGGAGACTACGAAGTATTTTTTTGCTATGGAAGAAAAAATAGTTAGAGCCTCAGGGTCCACTTTTTCTTTAGAAAAAAAAAAAAATTTCTATAGAAAAAAATCCGTCAGGACCCTCAGGGTCCATTTTTTTTCATAGAAAAAAATCCGTCAGGACCCTCAGGGTCCATTTTTCTTTAGAAAAAAAATCCGTCAGGACCCTTGGGTCCATTTTTTTCCATAGAAAAAAAAATCCGTCAGGACCCTTGGGACCATTTTTTTCCATAGAAAAAAAATCCGTCAGGACCCTTGGGTAAATTTTTTTCCATAGAAAAAATCCGCAGGGACCCTTGGGTCCATTTTTTTCTATAGAAAAAAATCCGTCGGGACCCTTGGGTCCATTTTTTTCTATAGAAAAAAATCCGTCGGGACCCTTGGGTAGATTTTTTTATATAGAAAAAAAATCCGTCGGGTCCCTTGGGTAGATTTTTTTATAGACAAAAAAAATCCGTCGGGACCCTTGGGTCGATTTTTTTTTATAAAAAAAACCCTCGGGACCCTTGGGTCGATTTTTTTATTGAAAAAAATACGTCGGGAAACTTGGGTCGATTTTTTTATAGAAAAAAAAATACGTCGGGAACCTTGGGTCGATTTTTTTATATAAAAAAAAATACGTCGGGACCCTTGGGTCGATTTTTTTTATAGAAAATAAAATCCGTAAGTACCCTTGGGTCGATTTTTTTATAGAAAATAAAATTCGTCAAGGCCATTTTTTCTATAGAAAAAAATCTGTCAGGACTTTTGGGTCCATTTTTTCTATAGGAAAAAATCCGTCAGGAACTTTGGGACCATTGTTTTTTTTTGGAAAAAAAATACGTGTGGCCATTGGGTCCATTTTTTATAGAGAAAAACCATCGGTTATATAGGAAAAATCCGTCTGAACCTTTGGGTCCATTTTTTATAGGAAAAAATTCGTAGGGACCCTATGGTCCATTTCTATAGAAAATAATCCGCAGGGATCCTTGGGTCCATTTTTTATTGAAAAATTCCGGTGAGACCTTTGGAACGTTTGTTTAGAAAAAAATTTTCTATAGAATCCTTGGGTCCATTTTTTCTATAGGAAAAAAATACGGTGGGATCTTTTTCTTTAGAAACAAATCAGCAGACCCTTTGATCGCTATTTTTTCCCTGAGTCCACTTTTTTTCCATGTTCTCATATTTTGCTATGTGCTCCCCTTATCTTCCACTTCTCTTAAATTTTCATTCTGTGCTAAAATTATTTTCTCTTCCATGTCCCCAATTAAAAGAAGAAGTTCGGAAACGCTTCACTGCATGTGTGTGTCACAGTGGTGGCGGTTATGCTTGGGTAATTCCAAAGAAATGCATCTGGGTTTCGCTGAAGCCACAGCTGCCAACAGTTGCAGTTGAGAAGTTCCAGCATTCGGTTCAGTTTTTATTTTTCGGAAAATACGTATGGCATATGAAAGCCTAATGTATCCCGCATATTCACCAGGTCTAGGTTCGAGACCTCGTCTACAATCCTTGCATCCTTTTCGTCAGCTAATTTCGGCGGGATCTCATCCGAATGGTGCTTGGACAGGTGGTGGAGGTGGTTCCGGCCACTCGGGATATGGGTGAGTTTTCCATTCTTCTTCATTGGAGCAATAATTAAAAAAAATCTTCTTCTTAAGACCCGAACCTCCGGAATACGATTACCATTCGGGACCCCCGGCCCCCAGTGGTGGTAGTTATTCATATCACTCGACGGCTGGTACGGGCTATGGAGTACCACCACCTGCACCACATCCCCACCCCAATCCCCATCCACATCCTCCGGTGCATCCACCCACTGGAGGCACCGGTTATGGTTACGGAGGAGGAGGTGGTGGAGGCAAGAAGAAAGGAGGTGGCGGAGGTGGTGGTGGTAAAAAAGGCAAACGGGGCTCCTCAACCATTACGGCCCTGACTTTGTTGTCGTTTTTCTTTTTCGTGAATCTCCTGCAAGGATGCATTAAGGATCACATGGACTCAATGAATCCCACCGTGATGGTCATGACCACCGATATACGACGCAGTAGCCTCAATAAAATGGGTGATATGAATTCTAGGGAACAAGGTTCATCGGCAGGTGTGGTGGCCTCAGGAGGGGCAAATTTGGTAATGCAACCTGCGGATATGTTGGCCTCCGCTGCTTTGAATTCGGCCTCAGTTATGGAAGCTATGAAACCCTATGTTAATTTACAATCACCCTATAGTGGAGTGATGACCAAACCTCTGGATGTTATGGCCTCACAGCCACATCAACAACCCCCTCCAGCTCCCGGGACAGTGGTAACCCATTATCAGCCGCAAAGTGTAGAACAGCCTCAGGTTAGCTATGCCCCCAGGCCACCGTTTTATGATCAACAACATCAACCGGATGTTTATGAGCCAAGGCCAAGCTTTGGAGCCCCGGTTCCTCAATATGGACCACCGTCCCAATCAAATTATTCCCCACGGCCATCGAACAATGAGCCTCCTCCCCCATCCTATCAACAGAATCAACAGCCACCCATTTATATGGGTTCGCCCATGGACCAGCCTCAACTCCAGCATGGTTATGGCAATAATGATTATTCTCCCCCACCTCCTCCACCACAACAACCTTCTTCATATTCCACACCCCGAAATCCTTTTTATGATCCGCCAAATCCTTCCTACCATAATTCCTACAAAGGGGTCTATACGGCCTCTCAACACTCACCGGATAATGGTTATCAGAAATATCCAGCCCAAAAATATCCACAAAAATATCAGGAAGAGGAGGCACTGCCTGGAGATTCATATCACCATCATCAAGGTCCTGTTCCATGGTCTTCGTCACAATCCTCGTCATCGGTGGTATCGGGACCTATACGACGGGCAACAATTGTCTCCATATCACCAACCATAAAATGGGTTTCAGTACCCTCCAATGTGGATGATCATACCGATTTTGACCAGCATGCAGAGGAGGCAGATGAAATCCGGCGCAGTAGCCGTTATGACGAGATATCCTTTAATGATAAGCCTTAAATGGAACTATTTTTGAAATAAAGAAATGGGAATTGGAAAAATTGTGTTTTAAAAGGGGAATTTATTTCTATCGAAAAAAATCGACCCTGAGGGTCTCACACGAATTTTTTTCAATAGAAAAAAATCGACCCTGAGGGTCTCACACGAATTTTTTTCTATCGAAAAAAACGAATTTTTTTCTATCGAAAAAAAATCGACCCTGGGGGTCTCACACGAATTTTTTTCTATGGAAAAAATCGACCCTGAGGGTCTCACACGATTTTTTTTCTATCGAAAAAAATCGACCCTGAGGGTCACACACGAATTTTTTTCTATCGAAAAAAAAATCGACCCTGAGGGTCCCACATGAATTTTTTTCTATAGAAAAAAATCGACCTGGAGGGTCCCACACGAATTTTTTTCTATAGAAAAAAAATCGACCTGGAGGGTCCCACACGAATTTTTTTCTATAGAAAAAAATCGACCCTGAGGGTCTCACACGAATTTTTTTCTATCGAAAAAAATCGACCCTGCGGGTCTCACACGAATTTTTTTCTATCGAAAAAAATCGACCCTGCGGGTCTCACACGAATTTTTTTCTATCGAAAAAAATCGACCCTGAGGGTCTCACACGAATTTTTTTCTATCGAAATAAATCGACCCTGAGGGTCTCACACGAATTTTTTTTCTATAGAAAAAAATGGAACTACTTTTAAAATAAAGAAATGGGAATTGGAAAAATGGATTTTTAAAAGGGGGGCGTAAGGGAGGAACCAGAGTTCTGGCGATTTTGTGTCTATAGAGAAAAATTCAACCTTAGGCCTTAAACATTTTCTATAGAAAACATTTACCTGAGGCTCTCACTAGGGTCTCACCCTGAGGGTCTCACACGAATTTTTATCCATAGAAAAAAACCAGCCCTGAGGGTCTCACACGAATTTTTTTCTATCGAAAAAAAATCGACCCTGAGGGTCTCACACGAATTTTTTCTATCGAAAAAAAATCGACCCTGGGGGTCTCACACGAATTGTTTTCTATGGAAAAAGCGACCCTGAGGGTCTCACTCGATTTTTTTTCTATCGAAAAAAATCGACCCTGAGGGTCTCACACGAATTTTTTTCTATAGAAAAAAATTGACCCTGCGGGTCTCACATGAATTTTTTTCTATAGAAAAAAATTGACCCTGCGGGTCTCACAAAAAAATTGACCCTGCGGGTCTCATTTTTTTTCTATAGAAAAAAATTGACCTGCGGGTCTCACATGAATTTTTTTCTATAGAAAAAAAATCGACCCTGCGGGTCTCACATGAATTTTTTTCTATAGAAAAAAATTGACCCTGCGGGTCTCACATGAATTTTTTTCTATAGAAAAAAATTGACCCTGCGGGTCTCACATGAATTTTTTTCTATAGAAAAAAATTGACCCTGCGGGTCTCACATGAATTTTTTTCTATAGAAAAAAATTGACCCTGCGGGTCTCACATGAATTTTTTTCTATAGAAAAAAAACCTGCGGGTCTCACATGAATTTTTTTCTATAGAAAAAAATTGACCCTGCGGGTCTCACATGAATTTTTTTCTATAGACCCTGCGGGTCTCAAAAAAATCGACCCTGCGGGTCTCACATGAATTTTTT